AAAAAAAAAAAAAAAAAAAATGTGACAATCTCAAGTTATTTATATTCTCGGAGCGCTCGATTCTCGCGTGAACGTCCAATGAACGGAATGGCGGATTTTTTTTTCCCCTAGTAAACGAAAAAACAGACGTGGCGATGGACTGCAAAGTCGGGGTCCAGGAGGAGGCCCGGCCGTGGTTCGCCGGCGCAGGTATCGGCCACAAGCTCGACGACAAGAGCAAGCTGAGGCTCAAACTCGACAAGAACCTCCAGTTCGGGACGAGCGTGCAGCTCAACCTCCAGGAGAACCTACTGCTCACGCTCGCCTTCAGCCTCGACCTGCCCAACCTAGCGAGCGGCCAACACAAGATCGGCCTTGGCCTCGACGTCACCGGCTAGTCCCCATCCCCTTTTTTTTTCTACTGTATTTCAATAAACCTCTCCATCTTACGCGACAACTCTCCCTCTCGTCACCCGACACCACCATCATCGAAAGAAAAGAAAGATAAACAGACTCACCCTGTGCCTGGGCACGGCGGGCATGCTGCTCGTCCTGCCCCGGTGCTTCGGCTGGGGCGGCAGTCTCGACGCGGGCGCCGCGGGACTGGTCGGGCTGGGGGTCCCACCGGGGCTCAGATGCGGCGTGGTCGGCATGGCCGGGCTGAGGGTAGGCGTGCGGGTCGGGCTGCGCGCCGAGGGCGACAAGTGGCCCCACGGGCCGGCCTCCGCCTGCAGGAACCTGGACGAGACAAGGGCACCCCGTTAGTCGTTGTGGTGGTACGAGAAAGCTCCGAGTGGAAAGTTTGTCCGAGCAAGCCGCAAAAGTGATACCCGAGAGGAAGCCTCGGTGGGAGCAGAGACGCGCGCGCATTAGGAAGCCGCAAAAGGGTATGTAGGTGCACGGGTGTGGGCAGAGGAATCGTACAAGCAGCCGATCGGTACGTGTGCTGTTGGTGCTGATCACGTGAAACAACGTCCCCTCGTGTATTATATAAAATACATACACATCCCCGAGGCTATGCGCGGGACAAAGGAAGCGCGAGTAAGACAAGGGGTAGCATTGGTGCACCTGTGGAGGTCCGGAGTGGGTCGGGCGACGGCGATGCTGGAGCTGCGCCTCCTCGAGGGCGTGGGCGAGGATTTGGCCTCGCAGCCGTGGCCGTGGGACGTGCCGTTCAACCGGACCTCGATCTCGCTGCTGCGCCGCTGGAAGGCCCGCTTTTGCCAGCGTTGCTTGGCCAAGTTGCTCAAGCTGCTGCTGTTGTTGTGATTGGTGGTGCTGGTGGTGGGGCAGTGACTTTTGCCGTGGCTGCTGTTGCTGCTGCTGCTACTGCTGCTGCTCACAATCACCCCGTACCCCGAGTCGCCGTCCTTTCTGCGAATTTTTTTTTTTTAATTTCCAATCGGTTAGTTTCCCTGTTTTACGGTGATGCCTGCGAGGTTGCGCGAGGACTCGATGTTCATAATGGCTTTTTTTTTTTTTTTTTTTTTTTGGTTTTTTTTTTCTCCCCGCGCGGGTGTAGGTGATGACGGTTGAAAGATAATCACACCGAGCACCAACTCGTGAATAATCTCATTATTATGGAAATCGTTTGGTAAAAGAAAAAAAGCGCGCCAGATTTAAATTGAATTTCTCGTTCGAATGGCGTCTGGAGGTGGCGTTTTTGCTCCTATACCCACATACGATTCGACCTTTATCGGTTTAAAGAACAAAGTTTGGGTATGTTGCACGCGGCTATGGAAAACAGATGTCTGGACGAATTAACGTTAAAATCAATGGTAGCCCTGTCTATGTATACGGCTGTGGGAAACTTTTTTCTCGGGTTTCGTGTGTCACGTAAAGTTGTGAAAGACACACCCGAGAAAGTGTATTAGTAACTCGGAGGGAAGAGAGAGAGAAAAAAGGATCCTCCCCTCGCGCAAACTGTACGCGACTTGAAAAGGAATCGACGTGCACTTGGGACGGAAACTCGAGAGAAAATCTCTCGATCGGAGTCGTCCGAAAGGTACCCCCCCACCATTCGCATGCAAAATCCTGTCGGGAGAACGAGAAAAATAAAAAAAGTCTCTCCGATGCCCCCCTGGCTTTACTCGATGATGATGCAAGTGATTGTATTTGCATGCGGGAGCGAGCTTATACGAAGATGTATACGTTACACCAAGAAGAGGAATCGCGGATTAATTGCCTCCGTATCGTGCACACACATTCACACGTCCAACGATACATACGTACAGGAGGCAATTCGCTTAAACTTCAAGTGCCACTCTCGTCGTCTTTTCTCATCGACTCTCGAGCTTAATCCTTCTTCTTCTTCTTCGCCGGGCTCAAGTAGTGCATTTAACCCGCGCACAAAAGTATTACTGTGTACCATCAGATCGGTATACAAATAATCCGTTCGATAGCTCTCGAAGCGAGCCATTTGCCTGATGTAACGCGGCACTCTACCGAATTGGCCGTGTACTAGCAAAACCCTGTACGTGTCAGTTTTAGTCATTGGGTCTTACAACTGATCGCCGGATTCAAGCCGCTTTCACCTCGACGTGCGACGAAAAAGATTTTCCAAGCTCACCGAAGCACGAAGGTCGAATTCAAAATCGCCTTTTGCGAGGCATCGCGTATGCGCGAACTCGAGAGATTCGCCGCGTTTGAAGCCCACCCTGCCCCCTGTGTACAAAGACAAGGGGGGGGGGGGGAATTTCTACCGCCAGAAACTCCAAGGGCTTATACGTGATGCTTTTTGCAAGTGTATATTTATAGAGCAGGGCTCATGGGTTTCGGCGACTATGCGTGTTTATCTACGACGTTATTTGTACTCTCTCGGCTCTTTTTTTCTTAATGCGTGATTTTCGATTGACGCGTGTCTGGATGCGACTGTTGCCAGTTTTACCTGGGTATGAGTTTGTCCTCGAGCATGCTGGGTTGGTCGTCGGGATCCTCGCTGAGGGCCATGAAGAATTCCTTGAAGTTCTCGGGAAAGTTGGTGGGCGGGCAGGTGGTTGTTTCCGGTCTATGGTGGTGGTTACCGGTGCTCGCGTTGCTGCCGCGGCTCTGGTTATTGCTGTACCAGGGCATCGTCGAGGTCGTCGCCATCTCCGCCCCCTCCTGGCCACGAATCGTCCCTCATCTACTCTCCACCCGTGTCGTCATTTTTCGGCAGCCCCTCTCCTCTTGGGTGTTGGCGTTTGCTTTTTTTTCACCGACAATCTGCAAACAACACAGGGCGCGTTTCCCAGTATAACAAAATGGACAACCGAATGATTTCGGGGCACCAATACATCGCATAGTCGAATCGACCCCACGTGTACATAGGTATATGCATTACTGTGTGTGGGTGCAAGGTATATATATATATATATTATATATGTACGTGTATTACTGGTTATTCGCGCTCTCGCTCGAAATCTTGTCCTACTTCCTGCGAACCTTAAATACTTAAACCGAGTATCGGCAATATTGATTTGTTCTACTTTTCGACGAGTATATAAGGGGGAAGCAAAAATAAAAATGAAAATAAAAACAAGCGTCAATTAGCAAACGCACGAGTGATTAAGCGATCGTGCGTGTCGATAACGCGAAGAAATGTAACGTCTGATTTGCGTTGTCAACGAGTTATACCCCCCCCCCCCCTAGTTTGGTCTCGTCACGCGAGTCGAAAAAGGACGCGACAAATAATCATACATCGTTGCGGACCAAAATTTTTTGTAACTCAATAAGCACAGTGATACATATGCACATCAGGTTTTATCGATTACCTCCATATTTCAATCCACCCATGCATGAGTAAGTACTTGGAGGACCCCATTGATCTGCCATTGAGGGAAATTTGTGAGTTGTCGTTTTATCGCCCGTCATTTACATTTACGGGTACGTATACACTTTCATTTCCGTATCTCTGTATTATTTATTCATGCCTGAAGGTTCGGCAATTTCATTACAACTGGGGTGGTACTTATGTGTACATAAATATATTATATATGCTATAGAGAAAAAAGGGATAATGTCACGCGCCATTGTCTCAATTGTGTATAGGAGGTATCATTCGTCTCTCGTCTGTACACCGATACGCGGACACGTGATCCGAATAAGTATTTCGAAACAATACAACTAGATCTCTTGTAAAAACAAATTTGGGCGCGTGTGTTTTTTTCCGCTGTACCACTGTATGTACATATCGCTGGCGGCTCGTGACTTTTTTTTTAATTTCCTTATTTGTTTTGATTCTGTTGAGTGTAATTATGTTATAATGTGTTCACGATGTGTCCCCAAGAAGAAAAATAAAAAATAAACTAACAAAATGGATTATGTCAATGTTTGCTTAGCTGAACGTCTGACGCGATAGTTGCTCTTTAAAGTTAGGTTTGTCCCAATTGGATACGTTACGTGCTCCTTGTAAGTGGTACAGGTGAAAACACAGTTTTGTTGGATCGGTTACTGCAATTAGTTGTCGAAATTGCGGCCAAATTTGTTTCCTTACTTTTAAGCCTGTGCTCTGCACCCTTGGGTTAAAAAAGTTTTTTTTTTTTTTTTCGTTAATCTTGTTCATACGTGTTTTCGTGATTGCTTATAACCATTATGTTTTTTATGAATGCAGAAAAAAAAAAAAAATCATCTGCTTTGATTACAATAAATTATCTGTACGTATTCTCAAAATATCCGTCCATCGTGTGGGTCAAAAGAGAGGCTCGTAATCAAGTGGAACTCGTCTCGATCCGTATACCTCGTCACGCGTGGAAATACTAAGTCAAAGGGTTTCTCTCGAGTCCATCATGGATAATGTTGAAAAAAGAAAAAAAAAAAAAAAAAACGAACTGTACAAAGTATCTCCAAAATTAAGGCTATTTTTTTCCATTCACTTGGACAAATGTAAAATTCATCCCCGGAAAATGAGACGCTTGCGACCCACCGCATCAACTTTAGGAGCAAAACATTAAATCGATGCGTGTGCGTACTCTGCTCCAAAAAAAAAAAAAAAAAAAAAAAAACTCTAAAAATTATTTCAGCACCCAATCCTCAAAACGAGCTCTCCACTGCAACGCGAGACACAAAGCAAGTATATAATATACTTGAAGCGAGAAAAAAATAAAAAGGTGACAATAGCAGCCTACATGTAGGTATTGGGGTCGAAACCCTCCGCGGTAAACCATCGCGCCTTTGACTCGAGAACGGAAAAGTTTTCAATCAACCGCGACAATCACGTTCGGTCACACACACACAATTCATGAAACCTTTGAGCCCCGAACTAATAAACCAAGCCCAACTGACCAAGTACCTACTAGGTAGTAAACAGCCACGGCATCAGCGTGTTGTGTATTTATGATACACGTTGTTTTCGCAGAAGCAGCCGAGATATATTAATCCAAAAAGCCAAAGGGGACTCACGTTCCGGGTCCCCTGCGCGCAAGTGTGTACAGTCTCTTTTAATGCTGCCTCTCCTCGTCGAAACGTCTACCCTAAAAATTTGACTTGTTGTGGAGGAAAAGGGAGGGGAAAAAAAAAAACAAACAAACAAACCAACGAAGCACTTGTAAACAATGGGTAAGGCGCGCGACGCTACCGTAGCGCGAGTTAAGCGGAAACTGAGCGCACGGGTGTATGATCAGGAGCGCGTTGTTGGCCCATCTTTCCCCAGTTGCTCGTCCTACCCGCGAGCTCGGCGCGCGCAACCCCCCTCGACGGGTCCCGCCACACCACCCGCGCTCAATTTTCCCTCCCTTTTGTCGTTCTTTTATTTCTCTCCCTCTCCTGTGTCGCGTGCTTATACGCGAGAATCGTATTAGGTTCCCCCCCCCATACATAACGACATCTTCAGCCGTGCAATTGATTCATTCAACGAAATCACCGATCGCGCGCTGTACTTGTATAGGTATGAGGAACATTGGCGCCCAATTTGGCGCGGATCGCGGCTGTACGTATAATATGTATATGTGCATCGAGTGATCGTTAACGAAACCACTCGATGATGATTGCAGTGGGGGCATCGCTAATGGATCGTAAAGTTCACGCGGTTGCACTCGAGAGAAGACGCGATCGCGTGCCGCAACCGCGGCGTTTACGATGACTCTCGTTTGGATGAGTTATTGCAATGGTTCGTTAATCTCTCGGAGTCGGTGTCTTGTGTCCGAGTAAATCCGACACGTTTTTACGGTCAATTTGAAATTATTGGGAGACACAGGCTCGTAATTGGAGTACTTGTTTCAAAGTTTCACGTCTCCTTCTTCCAAAAAGTTATACTCTCGCCATCCAAATAATTGACTTGTTATACAAGGCGCAGGCACACACGTGTACATATGGGCAAGAATCGGCGCGTATTATGTAGTCACCACCCGAAAGCGGCGTGCAAAATTCAACAACGCCCGGGGGTAAAGAGTAGCTCATCGATGAAATAATAACGCCATACACGCGCGCATTAGGTGGCATTGTGCGGAGGGGCCACGCAAAAATTTTCCTGTTCAACCTTGACCTCCCCCCCCCCTAAATTTCACTCCTGACTTTCACCCATAGCCGATGTATACGTGTATTGTGCGCGTGTCCTCCATAAAGCCAGAAGTCCCGCAAAATTACCCCTGCGTAAGCTGGACTAACGGGACCGGCAGATTAGCCTGTATTAGGTGTTGTAAATAAGTCGAGAGTGGCCAAGTTTGGGCTTTGAATTTGTCTCCTCTCTCTGTTTTACTTGAGGCGGGAGGAGAGAAATTTTTTTTTTTTTTTTTTTCACTATGTACACATCAGGTATACATCACAATTCCACGGTACATCCGTAATGGATGATAACATGATAAGGATATTGATTGAAAATAAGTGCCAAGGTGTATGATTTGCATATTCGTTTTTCCAAGTGCTGATGTGCACTTGCTCAAGAACAACAGCCCCGGCTGTCACCTTTGCTCGCGTATCTACCGCTAAATCCGCTCAGCTGCACACCTACACGAGACCGCGAGCGCTTTGGAAAAAAAAAAAAAAAAAAAAAAAAAAAACCCAAGTATCTAGCACACCGCTGCCACCGCGGCGTCTCGGCCTCAATCTTTCTGCACAAGAGAGCAGTGCCTACCAACAACACACCCCACCGGCACCTCATCTACTTTTAGCATCCACTTATCCTGGTTCAATAAACGATAAGTGGCAGCTGGTGTAAAGCCCGATAACGACGACGATGACGTTGTCCTCGGCGAGATGCAATTTTAATTACAGCAGCTAAATAAGGCACTCCCGCGGGTATCGATTGATCGCCGACACGTTCCTCCTCCGCTCACACGTGGACCTGCAGGGATGGCTTTTGTTTCTCAACTTGGGCCGGCTCGTACTCGAGAGGTATAGGGAGAAAAAAAAAAAAAAAAAATCTCCGTCCAATTAGGGCTAATTGGGCCCGCCGTGTTTCCACCCGAGCTTCTGCCGAGTTATACATTGTTTTCTCATCTGTTAAGAAAAAAAAAAAAAAAAAAAAAAAAAAAACCAGGTCCTTCCATGCCAATCGTAATGGAATTCTCATACGAGAAAAATTTTTTTTTTTTCCCTTCTTTTTCACGCGTCCTCAATCAAGTGCAAATTTTTTGCACTCCTCAATTCGTTGAACAACCTTGAGAATCGCTCACTAATTATAGTACAGGTGATCTAGAAGATGGATGGGCCAACCACACCCGAGTGTGTACACACACACACACAAGTAAGTACTACGTAGTTGATTCAGTGCGAAAAAGGGCACTCGGTCCGAGTTTGGTCAAACTTACCTTATGCGGGATGAAAAGTTTTTGACCCCCCAATGGATGAAAAACAAATTTCACCGTCCCAGTAAATCCACTCGGGAGGGGGATATCGGGTAATGGCTCGCTGGGCAGAGTTGTCCGCACCTGTAACATATACATATACCTACACCCACGAGGATAAGTTTGACAACCCGAGCATCTGACCCTCCCCAAGCCCCTTCTCTGTATGCCTTTACTTTCGTGTCACGAGCATCACGCGATAACTTTCTCTACACCGTTGACACTTTTTCTCCTTATTCCGTCTTCGCCTCTTGCGAGTTGGCTCTCGCGCACCCGTCCTAATATCGCGCTCCATTTTCCAAGCTATACGCATAATACACCTTTGATCAACCCCTCGATACCGATTACCGCGACGCTCCCAATTGTATACTATACCTACTCGGCTCGATTTTTCCACACCCACGTGACAGCTTGTATACCTTTATTATAATTATATTTCCTATACCTATATTATAAATATATTTCCCCTCCCCCCTCGTATCCCATGGTCTCGACGAAATTCGTCTCACCCGAAAACATCCCCGTTTAGGATATACATATAATGTAAAGTACAGAGCGCGTGATTAATATTCTTTTTCTTCTTCCTTGTTTCGCCGTCATCGGGTTATTGAAAGGGGAAAAACCACAGCGTCGATCTATCGGTGGGTGTGTATTTACTCAATGGGTGATGTACGCCGGGGAAAAGTTACATGTATACGTAATACGTCCCACCTTGTGTATAAGTAGGTATGTTGTACGCACTGAAATTTAGTGCAGGCTCCTCTCGTTCCGCCTACGAGACACCGAGTAATGAAGCACCCGCTTAACCAACACAGTCCAGAGCGAGCTACGAGAAAGAAGGGGGGGGGGGCGAGTGAGGGAGACAGAGGAAGGAGAAAATAAAAGGGCGAGCGAGAGTCCGGTTCTTCCAAGGGATAGGTGTATATGTATAAAATACCCCCCCGGAAGTTTATCTCTCTTCGAGTGGATTCGCATACGCATTATATGGCACCCGGGGGTTCACGTCTACTTACCGAAACATCACCCCTTGGCGCACGCGTGTCGCAAACCAATACTGCAACGGTGAACCATACCGTTGATGATGTACATATATACCCAAGTTGGTTATATTACGTGCACACAGTACCCGTATAAGTATAGGAGCGCGGTCGTCGATCGTGTAATGCCCGACGGCGCCTCTGCCAGCTTTTCCACCCTCGCTCTCGTGCTACGCCGCCGTGTCATCTTCTCCCTCTTCTTTTGCTTCTTATTTGCCATTGTGGTTTCGACGCCGCAACAACCACTGCGTGGCTCCTCTCTCTTATCGTAATGCATATCTCCCGCTCTCTCTATTGATTGCAACGTGGATCGGATGATTAACGCGTTGCAGTACCCTCCAGTGGAAAGCCGTATGTTCGTCCTTTTCGTTTCATAGGGAAAAAAGGACCCCTTCCAATGTATGTAATAATTTCGTGAAAAGGATTTCGCCGAGACGCAGGGTATATATCGACACTTTTCTCTCTGTGTCTTTTCCATTGCGTTCTCGGCTACTTTTGACCCTTTTTCGGTACCCTCCACCCGGACGTTGTATCATATCATAGAATTTTCCTTTGTTTTTTTGTTTGTTTTTTTTTGTTTTTTTTCTAGCTAACCAACTAGGGGTCTTGTAAACCTCGCGTGTACACATTTACAGTATAACGATACACCGGAGGGTATTACACAAGAAAATCACGTACAAGTCGCGCCCTTAAGGGGCACACCGGGACACGATACCGGCGGCGAAGACCCAGGCGGCGAATCGACCCCGCTCGTATCAAAGTTGACGGGACACGTGGCCTCCTGCGAATGAAAGAAAACGAAACATATGTACAAAAAATAAGGAAGTCCACGAAGAACGTATCGCGTAACTGACACGATGGGGGGGGGGGGGCACACCTGTAACCGTATCATTTCGCACGCCCGATGGGATCATTCACGCGGGGAGGGAAACGGATGGGTGATAATAATACACACGGAAACGGTGGGATGGCAGAGAGGGAGGAAAGATGGGCTCCAAGTCACGTACCTGCTTGCGAAGCTCGTCCCGTTGGTCGGGGCCGCCAGCAGGAAGAAGTTGCACGAGCCTTGGAACCTCGTGGAGTGTCCAGGGCGCCTCGATCAGCCACGTGCTCCCGCTCTCCGCGTGGGCCATCACGTGGGCCAGAACCCTGCCCATCCTGCCCCGGTCCTTTTTCCTGAAAACCCAAAGCCCACGTGAACGGGCTTTGCTCTCCCATTTATCAAACTCCCGCTATACCCGGAACACATCGTTATCAAAGTTTTCAACAGAGTATACAAACGCGCCCCGTCTGTCACCCGAGTTTCGCGGAAGAAACGGCCGATTTCGCTTTTCGAGTCGTTTCCCCTTTTCACCGAATTTTTGCTATATAGGTCTGCACCCGAGATAGACTAATGAAAATTCGGGACACTCGTGTGTTATACTTCTTGACCCAGTTGGGCAACTTTAGACACGAAAAGCGGAGGGGGTGGGGTAGAGAAAAGTAGAAGAAGCAAATGCATACTTGATGGGCGAAACGGCGGGTGGCTGGCGTTGCAGTTGCTGCCAGTTGGCTGTCGAAGAGAAAATAAAGGTGTAAAAGAAGCCCCGATTAAACTCACGGATCTGGCGGGCAGTGGGTCGACTCCTCGGTGGTGTCGTCGGGGAGGCCGATCGAGTCGTAGGTCCGGCCAGCGGGGCACAGGGCCACCAGCCGCAGTCCCGTCCGTTCGGCTGGAAACTCCTTCTACGGGGAGGGAGAAATAAATATATCGGTAAGTTGGTAATCTGTAAGCTTCCGGGGCGCCTTGGTGCGGGTCGAAGAGAAAGAAATGGGCGGGTGCATGGACGCGTCGATTGATGGGAGCAATTTGGACCGAACCACCTTTGATTTTTTTATTCATGTCCCATCTGCGCAACAAAAAATTACAGAGGGGCTTACTGGATCGGGGGGTATATACCTCCATACGCGTCTGCTTTAGTTTGGCCTTGAACTGCGATACATTTTTTTTTCTTTCTCTTTCTCATACAGGACTTTTGGGAAATGTAATTAGTTGCCGTGCCGAGGTGCCTTTTGTGACGTTATTCACGTTATACGTATACAGCTATACGTGTAGTAATAAGGTATGCTCGATTATTCATTTACGTGTGTCTATAATGCACGTGGTTAGTGGAGCAAAGATGCGAGTAGGGTGGAAAAGATGGTGGGGTACTTACATTGTATCAAAGACATAGAGAGACGCGATATTGTACCTGTACGTGTACACAATTTATTTTATAATGAGGTTAACAAGATTTTTGATAAATGGCACATGCCACCTTGAGCTTAATAAAAAAAAAAAACAAAGATCAGCAGAAGCATAGCACTCAAATTTAGGCTACATATGCCTACATCACGTATTTGATTGGGGTCGCGTACACCTAATAATACATACATACACATACACCTGTATACTTCACACGATTTATATTGCATACTGCGCAGTAACATAAGCTTGTTAATTTTTTTTTTTTTTTTTTTTTTACCTCTCTGTATAATGTAAGTACCTCAAGATCCGCTGACTAAAAATAGCGAGCCAAACAGCTGATATGGGTACAAATAATAATGAAGCGAAGGGCTTCGTTTGCTCGAAAAAATAAAGTACCTATCAACGGGGCTCTGCGAGGCTTTGTACCTGCGTTACCACGGACTTACATGTAGTTTATAATATGTACTCAATTCCTTTACGTAATATTGCATGAATATAATATACATACCTGGGCATTTGGGCGTATTTTACAAGTGACCAAGTAATAACATTTGTTTGCTTCTTACTACACGCACATCACCAATGTATATGTAAGTATATGGAGCTTAGGGGAGTTCGAGAGAGGCTACTGCGCATTTAACGAATCCATTTCCCCCCTCGTGGATCTCTCTCTCTCTCTCTCGATCCCTTCGAAGCAATATATTATATATCATGTAACACCGAGACTCTGGGAAAAGGATGTATTACATAATATAGTGCCCCGCGTGTATTTTTACGCATACACGTATATACACGTATAATTATACATATATTTGTAGCGATAAAAGAGCTTACGGCGAGAGGAAGTATACTAATGGCCCTTTGGGCTTTGTGTATATAAATATATACCAACGGCATACGGCGAGAAGGCGAATAGGCGGTGGGTGGAAAAACAGAAGGTATAAAAGTTCATAAAATACGTGTGTACCGCAAGCTCGACGGTGGTCTCAATGCTGGGCTCGGAGTGGCAGTAGACGGGCTTGGGGGATCGGGGCCATCGTAAGAAGCCGAGGATCGATGCGCAGTTGATAATCAGGCCGGTGCTCCTTTTGATGCTACCCTCCTTGGCCAACAGGTGCTCCAAGCCTAAGCGCGTCAAACGGTGCACGTTGCTCTGCGCGGAGACACAATAATATGTGTTTGGCGTGGGTTAGGATTTTTTTTTTTTTTTTTTTTTTTTCCAATCGTCCGAACTTTATGTCAGAGCGAACCTGCTTCTTCTCGTCGGGGCAGTAATTTAGCGGAGGATCGGTTTGACGGTTAATGGCGTCGAGATCGTTGAATAATATGGTGACGTTTTCGTCTCGGCAGATGGACGACTTGAATATGCCTGTTGAGGTGATGATGGAGAAAAAAAAAAAAAAAAACCACAAGTGGCCAAGTTAGGGTTTTTCACTTAAATCGTTATTTCTTGTAACAAGGAGTTGCATTATTTCTCAACTGCGCCCCAAACGCACGAATTTCAACTTTTAATGCTATCTTACGCAATCGATCAAAGTTTTTTTTTTTTTTCACCCCCCTGTTTGAAAGAATATTACGTAATATTGGGTAACCAAGAGGTAAAGGCAAGTATAGGAGAATAAATACAACGAGTTCTGCTGTCTGTTGACGATACAAGTATTCAATATTAGCATGTGTGTGTACGTAATCGTGGGAGGATTTTTACATGGCTTCGCGGTTTTGAAAGAGAAAATTTATCAAATTGGGGAAAATTGTAGATCTAATGGAAGTAAGGAGACGTCAAAAAACCTCATAGAAAATTGTAAAAAAAAAAAAAATACTAAAGGACAAACGGAGCAATTGATGCAAATGTAAGAAATTTCATGTAAAAAAAAAAAAAAAAAAAAAAACTTCATAAAAGGTCCTCCTGCACGTGTGCAATGCATCCGATGTACTTTGGACAAAGGCGCGTACAATGTATGCATCGCGTTACCTTCGACATGGCAGGAATTCCTGGGATCGCAGGAGTAAAATCTGGCTCGGTCTTTGCCGTACGCCTTGCAAAGCCTCTCAGCCGCGAAGGCACCCGCAGCCTCGTCCGCGTCGGCTAAAATGACCTTCTGAAAAAATATTTTTGCCATTCCTCAATACTTACCATCGTATAAGCTCAAAATATTGCTTCTCCTCTGCTGTTTTCTTGCCCGTGATAAAAAAAAAAAAAAAAAAAAAAAATCCATCATCCGCCAACAGAATATGCTCATACGCGGAGGGGACGTACTCTGGCGCCACGTGACAGCAGCTGCTCAGCCGCCGAGTAGCCAAAGCCATTGTTGGACCCACCGATGATAAGCGCGACTCTGCAGTTTATCGTGGCTTTCGGTTCCGGGAGTTCCCGACAGTTGCCAGGAACGAGGATGCGGGGCCCTGCTGGCGCTGCTCTCTTCGTGCTGTGGGTGAGTGTTTCTTTTACTCGTATTTTACTTTCTAGGATCTATATAAATGTTTATACCTACTCACCTGAAATTTTTCCTCCCAAACGAAGAGGCGACTCGGAGAAAAGGTTTAAACCCGCGGAATTTCATTTTTTCGGGTCACATTTTTTCATTGGCTTTTAAAAAAATTAACAATTTTGTTTAACCTGAATTCCCACCAACGTTTTTGGTTAACACGTTGAAAAACAAAAGAAGATTTAGTCCGGATTAACAACTGGGTGGTGGAGGTCGTTGAGTATTTGGTTAAAGAAATTTTGTGGTTTTCGCTTGAATAAAAAAAAAAAAAAAAGAAAAAAAAAAAGAGGAATTAACAAGCCTGAAATAGTATAGTTAATACCTTTTATTTATTTGAAGCTTGCAATATATTTGATATAGAAAAACACAGCAAATTTAATTAACTACATTATGAACGTTTTTTCAAAGAAAATTAACAATTTTTAAAATCAACGATTTCATCGTACATAGAAACTATGTGACCTTAATATGTTTAATTCATTTTGTCAAATTCAAAGTGCGCCTTTTATTATATCGCATATAAACATTTTTTTAAATTTATTTAATAACGCGAACGTATATCATGATATAAGCGATAAAACTCGTGCACGTACACACATACACGTACAATTATTTTCAAACCATATTATAAATATACTCATTTGCAACAATTAAAAACACATTTTACGCTTGTGCCACTCACGTGGAAGCAATCAAATTCCTTACATAATATTTAAGTCTTGGAAACTCATTTACAGAAGCAAATTTTTTTTTTTCAATTCAAAGACGGCAAATTTGCTTGTGTGGGAAGAAATAAGTCATATTTATGCATAATAGTAATGTCACACGTAGCACAACTTACAGCTTTTTACGTAAATGAATCTTACGAAAAATATTTAATGGTAAGTATATCACTTGGCAAAAACACGAAATATATAATTATATTTTCTTCTCTCATGTTACACTATAGTTTTCACAATAAATACTCACTTACGGTATGGTATTGTTCTTACAAATGTTGGCAGTACGTAACTTGTTCACAATAAAATCGCAATATCAAAAATTTTAGATGATCATTTTGATTTTATTTACAATGGAAGTACCTACATTTTTTATTTGGTACATGGGTATTGCCTCGTACTTGAACGTGAATCCAGTTGGTCAAAAGAACATTGATGTGACTTTGCTCAAACTAGCCGATTGTATCACAGACAAAATTAAAGTTACTTAATTTTAGCACATGCAAAGACCGCACTGTGCTTTTATACACGATACAAAAAAATTCATCGAAACACACCATTCTAGCGAGGTCGCGATGCACCTTATTCAGTTGTATTGGATAAAATATATGCGTACACATTGCATCGATTTCACCGATTAAAAGACTTATAAAAGTGAAATAAAAAGTTTCTCGTTAATCGCAAGATTTCTTTTTCTTTTTTCTTTTTTTTTGGTATAAGTATATAGGTACAGAGTCACTGGATACTTTGCGTATTAAAATTGAAAAATTCGCTATTACATGTATTGTTTAAAAATATGCATTTTACGATACGTTCCTTCATACCTGTATGCTTTCGTTATACGGACCACTTTCCGATCAATCGTTTGCTTAAAGGTCCCGCTTACACTCTTATTGTTACTGTACGTGGGTAAAATCAAATATGAAAAGTGGATTGTCGCGAGTGCGCGAACATATCGAGGGACGTATACAAATTGCAAAAGTCAGAATTTGCAAAAAATGATGTTCGAGAATATCAAAACCGCGTCAATGTAACAGAGAAATTGTATCCAAATGTTTTTTTTAGAAAAACTTTGAATCACCAAAATGGCAAAGTATTACCAAGTAAATATTGCACGTAGGTATACCCTACGATTAAGTGTAAAAACATTTAAAAAATTCCCTACGGTATAGTAGCTTTGCCGCGTGGAAGGCTGCAATGTCCATGACGGTACACGGTAGGACGTTAATTTAGTTCGGACGATTGTTGTAAAAATTCCTCGAGCGAGTGTATGATGTATCGAACGGTTTGGAGCCTAATGTTTCGAGAACGTGATTTCCTTGGGGGGCTGTCCGCTCTCCACCAGCCAGACGCTGCCACTCTTGCCGTTCGCCAGTATCTGGACCAACGACTTGGCCACGTGCTCGGGTCTGGAAGTAACGAAATCGCATCAGATATGTGATCACAAGATACCCGCGCGAACACATATATTATAAATTACACATTTACGTTTGGTAGGTCGAAGAGGCCGTGTCTCGGCGCCAGGCGTCCTCGTACCGAGGATACAGAAGCTGCTTGCCAACGTCGCGCACCAGATTACTCTTGGTCGCCCCGGGACATATGGCCATTATCTTCACGCCCGTCAAACCTACGTGGTACTGGTCCTATGTAGGTATAGAAATGGTCATACATACAAAAGTAAGGACACGATATTGTGACTGGACTTACGCCAAAAGCTCTGGTGAGGCTGACTATGGCGGCCTTGGTCGCCGAGTAAATCGGACAGCTGACGTAAGGGTTGAAGCCGACGTTGCTCGCGGTGTTGAGGACCACCCCGCCTCGGCCGCCCTTGTCGATACCCATGAACCGTTGGGCCAACAGCGTCCCGCGAATAACGCCGTTCTTGCGACCATTTACATGTTTATTTGCCAATGTTTTTTTTTAATTTTCATTGCCTGTACAAGTAGGTTTTTGGGGGTTACTTACGAGGTTTATGTCGACTTCGAGCTCCCAAAATCTGTCGTTCATTATGCCAGCGTTGTTGACGACGATGTCGATGTGTCCGAACGTGGCGATCACAGTTTTGAAAGTGTCTAAGTTAACAAAACACACATGTAATTATTTTTTTTCTTTTTTTTCTTTTTTTCGATAGAAGAACAAAAAACAAATAAGAATTTTTCAATAAGGAGTACCCTCGAACTGTAGGTAATCGGTGACATCGCACTGGCAGAACAAGACGCGGTCCTTGCTGTGACGGGAAGCCAGCGTGTGGTACAACTTTTCCCCTTCCTCGCCGTTGATGTCGCATATAGCCACCTGCGGAACGAATGATGATAATATCGTGTGGTATGGAAATTCGGGAAAAAAGCACCGTAACTTACCCCTTTGGCCCCTTGGTTCAGCAACTCCTCGGCGTAACTTTTGCCTATACCGGTGGCTGCTCCCGTCACCAGGGCTATGCGACCCTTCACCTCCATGCCCCCGAGCTCGCTCGAGCTTTGATTTCTGATCTTATCTTTGGCTTTTTTTGTTTTCTTCTTCTTCTTTCCTTTTATTCTCAGTTGTTTATTTTTTTTTTATCCTGCAGGAAAAAAAATTACGGCCAACGATTAACTCTAGTTTCGAGTATATTATTTCGTTCAACCGGTGAATTTTAAGGCGAAACGCTGCAATTTAAGTGGCAATGGGAACAAAAAATAATTTCATTTTCACGGTAAATAAAGGGTTGTACGTGAAAGTTGTTTGAAATATCTAAAAAAAAAAAAAAAAACATTTCTTCCCCTTATATTGGGTGTACGGTATTTTTGATTGCAAAAAGTGGCGAACTGCTTGCACAAATTAGCTCAAGCGAACAACTTAAGAAGAAACGGTACCGGGCAAATATCGTGATTATGGCAATATCGGTATGTAAATAAACCAAGTGTAAGCGACATAGAGTATTTGTCGGAACGTCAATAAATTAGTTGTGCGAACGAAATGAAAGTCGCGGGTTCACGCGGCCTCGGTCGATCGATCCGCTCTCTTGTCACACACGACGCCTGCACCCAATCACCAGAAGCACCCGGATCACACCACATTATAGCACTGCTGCATTTACAACAGCCGAAAAGAAAACAAATCTGAAAAAAGTGAAGAAAACACAAATGAGGTGAGCAACGCACCGAAACAACGAGGGAGCCCAGGTGATGTTACAAGTATACCCGTTGGGGGGTTGAAGCACACACACCCACGCGTGTATGGAGAAACGCGAAGGGGGAGTCGCGGTATTATGAGAATGAGTCACACGCGCCCGGACGTATCGGGACTCTGATGGCAACAGGCTCGTCGGTTCGGTGGATGTAAATACCGTGTGATATCCCTAGACAGCGGCCGACCACCCCCGATCGACATATACATAATATTATGCACCGGAGCCCGCCCGCGTGGGCGTGTATTATAGATATACGCACAGGACCAAGCGTGGCGCGTAGATGTACAGCCCAAAAGGAATATAAGTACGTATAGGTGTAAGAAAAGAGAGCAAGAGAGGGATGTACAATAGTTAAGGTGTGGTTGAGGCGCGGCTGCGCACCCGTCCCGGTATATCGATTGTCCTACCGATGCGTCCGAGGAGGCTGGGAAGGAGGTATAGGAGTATAGGGTGGGGTCTAGCTTTCGAGGATTCGCGAGCTTGCGGGAGGCTTTCGTATGTATATATACAGTACCTAGACTCAAGGCTTGCCGGTCGTTTCACTACCGATTTCTTCACGTGTTAACTGTTCGATATACATCATCTCACCGTTCGAGAACTTTGCTGGTGAATTTCATATTTTAAGGCTTACTCTGGTCATCGGCGATTGTTTAATTATCAATAATTTTAAATCCTTCGTGCTTGCGATTTTTAGGATTATGGATCCTTTTATTCCGTACTATGACTGTCGTCTGTAAGATATACTTAATGTACGACAATGGTATGCAGTTTAAAATTATTTCCCGCTAACAGGTATATATAGGATCGACGCGAAAAAATACATGTATTGGTGATGTGCTCGATTCATCGAAATTCTACCTCCATGCACCTTACATATAACATTACAACGCAAAAAGTATATATGCAGTATTTACAGGATTAGAAATGTACAAATATGGAAAATTTTGGATACGTAAACCTCGGAAAAATTAGTTTTTCGATCAATTGAAATTAAAAAAAAAAATCATTAATTTATTAATTAATCTGCTATGGATCCTCATCAAGTGACGACCAACAGTATTAGATAATAATGCGCGCTGCTGCGGAAGAATAACAAGTACTTTTACTATATTTTATTGTAAAATAAAACCTGAATAATATAGCAGACAATCACACGAGCCGGCATACTATACGTATAAAATTATGATATCACTCGTACGAGAAAAATTAAATGAATGAGTATAAAATGTGACGCGTAATTTTTTGCTCCGAATCACAAACACTCGATAATTTCACACTCGCCGCAAATCGAGCGATTATTACAATAATCACAATCAGTATAAATATGTAGATATTAATAATAATGATATCTGCGTTTGCTTGTTTGTGAATTTTCTTTAAGGTACATGTTGTACCTGTACGAGCAGTGTAGATTCTTCTTTTAAAAAACCGGTTTTGTTCTCCCGTCGTCTCGACTCTGATTTACAAGCCGGTCCTCTTTGCAAGTGTGCCACTGATACCTTGCACGAAGAATCTTATTATGTAAATATCACTTGATAAGTATGTATCGCTTGTTCGAGCCTAGCAACTGAGAGCCGAATTCGATAAATACTTGATTATGCTGAGAAAGAGTCGCTTATAATAATAATAAAATTAAGAGGAAAGAGCAGAGAACTTCTCTGGCATATTAAAGTATACTGACAAGAGGCCCGCCGCAGCTGGGGGTATACCTACATCACTCGAGAGAGCCGTCTGTACAGTACGTTTTACCTACTTATATCTCTCCTACAACTCAAGCAAATATGGCTTTATCCATTACTAGACTTGGTAGAATATTGTTTTTAAGCACCAGCGTCGATGTACATACGTATAAATTGCTCAAGCTGTCAAAGGTTAGTCGTTCTTTCAAAATTCCTGATTCTTTTGATTATCAAATTCCAAAGACTTAACCTATAAGTAGAATAAACGTGTGTAAAACCTGTCCGCTCCTCCTGATGGCAGGTGTTGACAGTCAATTTTTCAGTCAAATCGGACATTCCCGAGAGCGATAAAGATGCGGAAAAGACACTTCCGGCTCCAAAGGGCGATGGAAAAGTCTTCAAGTCGGCGGATGAGGTGGTCTCGGATATTCCCGATGGCGCAAAGCTTCTGGTTGGTGGTTTTGGCTTGTGTGGCATCCCAGAGAATCTCATCGATGCACTGCTCAAACGTGGCTCGAAAGATTTGGTTGTAGTCTCCAATAATGCGGGAGTCGATGACTTTGGCCTGGGTAAGCTGCTCAAGGAGCAGAGAGTTAGGAGGATGATATCCTCGTACGTGGGGGAGAATGCAGAGTTTGAGAAGCAGTACCTCAGTGGCCAACTTGAAGTTGAATTGACGCCTCAGGGAACCCTAGCAGAGAGAATCAGGGCCGGTGGAGCTGGTATACCTGCCTTTTACACACCCACTGGTGAGTAAACTTTTTATTTGTTTTCAATCTAACTTTAATTTTAATCAGATAGTCGTGTGTTATTGAATACAAAATAAGCAAATGTGTATAGTCATGCTATTGAGTCGCATACAACTAGCTTTATGAATATTCATTAATATTCTCATGAATGATTCAATCGTGTTCAGTATTACATCTGTAAGTATTTATTTATTTCAGCCTATGGTACCATTATTCAAGGAGGTAACACAGTTATTAAGTACGACAATGCTGGAAATGCAGAAATATCTGGTGAATCCAGACAATCTCATCAATTTGAGGGTAGACACTACATTTTGGAGCACGCCATCACTGGAGATTTTGCTCTGATTAAGGCGTGGAAAGCTGACACTTGTGGAAACCTTGTGTTCAGAAAGTCAGCAAGAAATTTCAATCCAACAATGTGTAAGGCAGCAAGAATAGCAATTGCAGAAGTTGAGGAAATAGTTCCTGCAGGTCAAATTGATCCTGACCATGTTCACTTACCTGGTATCTATGTAGACAGAATCATCAAAGGAGAACGTTATGAGAAGAGAATTGAAGTGAGTTATTATTACTTTTCTTTTTGAATAACTATCAATGGAATCGATTAATTTTTACATAATTATACATTGTGTTGCAGAAACGATCCACGAAACAGTCTCTGAAACCAACTAAAGTTACTCCAGCTAGCAAAGCCAGAAACAGGATTATTAGAAGAGCAGCACTTGAATTCCAAAATGGAATGTACGCCAATCTAGGAATCGGTATGCCAATGTTGGCAAGCAATTATATTCCAAAAGGCATGAATGTCACGTTACAATCTGAAAATGGAATCCTGGGACTTGGACCATTCCCGGATGAAAGCAAAGTTGATCCAGATCTAATTAATGCAGGAAAAGAAACTGTTACTGTTTTACCTGGCGCATCGTACTTTAGCAGCGACGAAAGCTTTGCTATGATTAGAGGGTCAGTGTCATCATTATTGGCACTTAGTTTTTTACTTATCAATACATATTAATTACAAAATCTGTCAAATATTTATCAGTGGCCACGTTGACTTGACCATTTTGGGCGCAATGCAAGTATCAGCAAAAGGAGATTTGGCTAACTGGATGATTCCAGGACAGTTGGTCAAGGGAATGGGTGGTGCTATGGATTTAGTTTCCGCTGCTTCAACCAAAGTGGTGGTTACAATGGAACACAAAGCTCGAGATGGAAGCCCAAAAATACTGCCAGAGTGTACCTTACCTGTAACAGGTAAGTTAAAAATTTTGCTACATGTTGTACGCAAAATAGAAGGTAATAATAATTTTAAAAAACTTTAATCATTGGCAGGTCAACAGTGTGTTGATTTAATCATCACTGATTTGGCAGTTTTTGAAGTCACTAAAGGTGAAGGTCTGAAACTTATCGAGGTTGCACCAAACGTCGACATTAGCGAAATTGTAAGTTCGACTGGATGCGAGTTCACTGTTGCTGACGAGTTGAAAGAAATGGGACAGGTTCCTGAATAAAAAGTCTTTGATTAATTTTTATACGTACTTTATAAAATTGTCCTTGTTAATTAAATTTGGACTGTTGTTGAGGAGGGGTGTGGGTGCTACTCTGTACAATTTCTTGTATATAATTGCAAACCGACGAATTTTGTAAAGCAAATGCAAGATGCGACTTTTTTTACATGTACATAAATGTTATGCGTAAATGCAATAAATATAATATATGGAAATGAATATTCCGAAGCAGTTGTAAATTCCGCCGCTTTTTAATTTCGAATCATAGGGGAAAAAAAAAAAAAAAAAAAAAAGTTACAAGGTATATCTGCACCCAGAAGATTTGTAATCGCGGTTACTCTCGAAATTTGGCCTTGACGGTAGCTGGTAGTGGCAGAAAGTAGAGCACGCTGTTGAAAATGACGAGGCCCACCGAGAAGGCGAGCGAGATCAGTAGATTAAGCTCGACGTTGAGAACCTGCAACGTGTTCTCGGTCTCCTTGGTGAATCTTTCTCTGAGATAAGCGTAGCCGTCCTTGTACCTGCACAGCTCCTGGCTCCCGGGACAGGTGACGCTGTCGTTGTAGTTGAGATTCTTAAAAGCGTCCACCTCCAAGGCCAACTGGTTGAGAGCCAGGGACGCGTATCTCCCAGGCAAAGCCGTGGAAAGGGAACCGAGCAAGTCGGGCAGGCTTCTGCGAATAAGAGTTCACTCAGCAAACAGTACTTTGACGTGATGATACCGTTTTGTACGAAAACAAACGTATACCGCAAGCTGCGCAAGCTTCCCGAGGCAACGGCAAGGGTGGCGAGAGTGAGGTAGACGAGGGTGATGGCCGCGTTCATGGGCCGCCTGACGAGCATGAGGGCGGCAATGGTGAGCTGTTCACTGACGACAAACGAGGCCCAGAGCACCAAGCACGCCTTGAACCAGGAGTCCAGACCCATCTCGAGAACTGGATACAGTATGGCCATGCCCATGAGGGTCGAGAGGAAACTGAGCGGCAAACTCAGCAGCCCATAAGTCACGATGAACATCGTACCGCCGTACAGGCCCTCGCGCTTCTCCTGGTAGTAGCGCGCCCGAAACCCTGGAACTGCAACAAAGGCGCGTTGTTTGGTTCAAGTTTTGGCACACACCCACCTTACGATGTATGGAGGCCCATTACACAGGAGAGCAGTCACTGAGATCCCGGCTACGTAGAACAAGGTCAGGACGTTGAACACGAGGCCGGACGTCTGCAAGAAGACCATCGACTGCTGGGCTTTCGAGTGGGAGTAGAAAACGCTCACGAGGGCGAGGACGAATGGCAAGAAAAACAACCTGGTGCCAAAGTGAACGGCGCCCGACTTGTTGCAGGCGAAGGTTGCGGCGAGGCTTCTCCTGGACGCAAGTAAAAACACGTAGCTTTGGCTAGTGAGCAGAGAAAGAGTGAGTTATGGGACTTACAGGTAGAGCGCCGTGAAGGTCGAGAAGCAGCCGGGCCTGATGCCGCGGTTTTGCAACGACTTGTGGGTCATGCCGATGGGCGTGGGACTGAGAGAGGACGTTGGCGTCTGGAGCTGGGACTCCTTCAGGTGACTGCCGGCTAGGGTAGAGGCGGGCGCCTCCTTCAAGAATACCCCACCCTCGGCCTTGAACTTGTCCACCAGCACGGATATCTGCTGATTCGACTCCAAAAACCGATCTCGCGATCTACGGTCCACCGTCGACAGGCACACTTGCGTTTTGTCGAAACAATTGTACAATTGTTAGTTATTATTTTTCATACCCACACATTAGATAATTATATTGCACATGGGTACGTACGGTAGTACATGAGCGGGTTCTCGAGCTCGGGACAAGGAAAGCCCACGTAGGTGAAGTAGTCGAGCATACTGCGAGTCGGGCCGGAGTAGACGACCGCCCCGAGGCAGAGCAGAGTGACGCGCGCTACGAAGGGCAGCACGTCGGAGCGCGGCGTTTCCATCGTCAGCACTACGATCGAGCCTCGTCTGTACGCGTATTTTGCAAGTTGAGGGGCAAATAAATAAACAGCATTGGAATAAGATGTGAAAAGTTCTATACATATTTGGGGAATGTTGAACCGAAGTTTAGCATAGTAAGTAGCAAAAAGTGTGTGTACAAGGCACAGCTTTTTTTTTTTTTTTGTAATTCCCGTAAATTATAACATGAAAATTTGCTGTTAGGGCACACGAAAAGTCCAAGAAACTGTTTCAATATCCTTTCAAACGCGTAAAGTTGTCATGGTATACTGCACCCAAGAGCATAGACTACCCATATGTATCAGCAAATTGAATATTCGGTACGGTTGAGCACAGGCAGTACCTGGTGGCGTACGACCAGAGCATCGACACGATGAGGTAGGTGTTGAGGGGGTCGGTGTCCCAGGTGGGCTCGTCGAGGAGCAGGATGAGCGGGTCCTTGGCAAACTGCACGCCGAGCATGAGCCTACGGTACTCGGGCTTGGTGAGCTCGGAGACCGGCCTGTTGGCCAGCTGCGAGAGCGCCAGATCAGCCAGGGTCTGGCGCACCCTGGACTCGCGACTCCCACCCCCGTCGTGGTTGCACAGCCACGTGGCGTAGGTCAAGGTCTGACGGACCGTGAGACTCGGCAGGAGGTAGCAGCGGTGCGAGACGTAAGCACCATGCCGCCGGAACAACTCGGGCGTCATCAGGCTCCCGTTGAGGGTGATGCGACCCCGAGTCTCGCCCCGAGCTGTTCGACCGGCTGCACCAGGTGAAACGACATATAAAATTGGTGTATAAAACACGTATGTACAAATGTGGGGGTCAGTCTGCATAATGGTAGTACCAATGACGTCGAGGAGGGCTCGTTTGCCGGAGCCCTTGGAGCCGAGGACGGCGAGCACCTCGCCCCCAAAGACCCGGGCCGAGACGTCCCGGAGTACGGACGTGGGCTCGGACCTTGCGGCGATGCAGCTGTAGGTTGTGCCATCGGCCGCGGGTACGGTGGTCGAGTGGTACACGGCAGCTACGTCGAGGACGTTTTCGGCCATCGGGGCCATTATGAGGGTAGCCGCGGCTCTGGCGGCCGCTGCCGCGGCGCGTCGACGCTCCCGCCTGATGAGACCCTCGCAGGTGCACCGGTTGTCGCTACGCTGCTGCTGTGGCGGCCCGGTGTTTCCGATCGCCGCTAAGCGCCGACGGCTTCGCGCCTCGGCATTTCGCATTCGCCGACGAGCATTCGGATGGTGTATCTTGCTGCCGAGTCCGCTACCTCTTCTTTTCTACTTTTTATCCTCTCGGGTGCCTGAAAGTAGTTTTTTTTTTTTTTTTTTTTTTTTTAGTTGATTACATAATATGAACTGTGTATACTTGCATAAATATTTACAATCGCACACGAGTTAAAAAAAGAAAAGGGAAAAGAAAAATGTCGTTCTCCACGAGTGAATTGTTGCTCCGTTCGAGTAAAAACCCGCTCATACATTGGACGTTTTAAAGAGTAATACATTTAGTGAAATACTTGTAACGTATACTTACAAATGGAAACGTGTTTCTTTTTTTTTTTTTTTTTTAAAGTCACTTTGACAGTTGAAAAACGTTACCGATCTATCTTAAAAAAAAAAAAGAAAAGCACGCTCGTGCGAATCAACACGTACCTGTGATCGGTTCTCCTATGCCAACTGCGCTCGATGATCAGATGCAGAGACGAGCAGCCAATTATCGGAGCAGCATCCACCAAGAAGAAAAAAAAGGATGTACATAAATCACTTGCCGATCGATGCGAAAATCGTTAACAGGTCAACGACTCCTATCGCGTATATATAAAAAAAAAAAAAAATACCTGTATACTCGTTGTACAGCGCGTATTATGCACAGAAACAATATTGGTCAGCAAAAACGCTTGCCCGTATCGGAAAACGATCGGCTGTACCCATCCATACCCACCGACTCAACGAAGCGAGCCGCGCTCGGCGAGAGTCCCGATGAGAGAGTGCCTCGACCGTAACTATAATAATACTTATGAACCTACATAAGAAAATATATATATAGTATATGGAAAAGAAACCGAAGAGGAGGAGGAGGAGGAAGGAAGTAAGGAAGAGCTCGCGTCAGCAGAGATAGAGGCAGCTCGCGCTGACGGAGAGGAGCGCGGAGGAGCGACTGGGGGGACCCGTGCATCAGCAGCCCAGTCGAGGTGAACGTTCTCCCATACACTCTCGTACCACGTATAGGTAGGTATATATTTATATACATGTATACCTGCACCAGCAGAAGCGTCTCGAGAGGCCCTTACCTGGCGCACAATACATGTATATATATTTAACGGAAACTATAGCTACGCGTATGTGTATGTATATGTATACACGCCAGGCGTTGAGTCCCGAGGAGGAGGGGGCCCCCGCGCTCTCAGGTATGCCAGACGCTACTCGGGCCCCGGCGAAGCTCGGCCTCATAGATAGGGTATATTATATATTATATTACAGGCACTTGGACGGCTCCGCGCCTCAGTCGCGCGCGACTCCTCCTATGCCACGGGTCACGGTCACACTCTCCTGTCGTCCCCGTGTACGCACACACACACACAGAGCCTCGGATTATCACCATCATTATTCATCATTATTCCCCCCTCCGCCTCCTCCTGCAAACACGCCGCTTTCCAAAATCAAGTGTTTTACCCGGGCCCTGTCCAAAGCGAGGGAGCTGAGCCGTGGAAGGCTCCTCCTGCCGCGGCTGCCGTGCGGTGCGAAGGTCCGAGAAAATGGGCCCGACAGTTTCTCCACCGCAGCGATAAACTCCGGCTGGACTCGTTGAGATTTTTTTTTTCTTCTTCTTCTTCTTTCACTTCGCTTCGTTACAATTGATACCGCAACTGTGGCCGAAAGGATAATCCTCGTGCTCGCGGGGGCGCGCGTTTTCGCGCCTATAGCTGCGGTCGGGCGCTTGGATTCCCAGAAGGTGAGTACTAAAAGTTTTTCTCCTTCATTTTGCACCAGTTATGTACAATTGTACCTTACGCATATACATACACACATACACTCGTTCGTTACCTTTTCCGGGACGCAGTGCTATCTACGACCATCCATCTAAACTCTCTTTCTCTCTCTTTCAGCTTCCGCGTCCCTATCGTATCGCACGAGGGCTCGGTTTTTTGCAACTCACGGGTATAGTAATTTTTTACCTTTTCCTTCGTCGTATTCCGCGAGGCCTGTATAGGAGAAAAAAAAAAAAAAAAAAAATGGCCTCTTGCGGAAATTAAAAAAAAAATCAACCGGACAAAACAAAACAGGGGGATATATAGGAGAAAAAAAAAAAAAAAAAAAAAAACGCCGTGATCGTTATGACCACGAGAGAAAATCGGTATGGGTAAAATGCCCTACGGAGCATCTTTTGATATAAATTTTATTTTTTTCTCGTTTGGCGCGTAAGTGCCGCATCGAAGCGCAACGATGAAAATATAGTTGGGCAAAAACGTAAATGGAACAAAACAAAAAAAAAAAAATCGGTAAGACCCCGTCATAAGCTTGCATAATACACGCACAGGTATAAATGATTATGTACACGGTATATACGATGGTAGCGGCCAGCCGACGGCTGTTGGGCTGTTATGCGGTCGTGAATGTCAAGTTGAAGGGAAACGCGCGCGAGAGGAGGAGAGCGTCGCGCATTACGTGATAGTGTACGGGAAAAGAGAGAGAAGGAGATGTACGAGTAAAAAGGCGAGGAAAGAGAGAGAGATGGATTTCATTGGTATACACGTATACACATTAAGTATACGCCGCGCAGGAGGTAATGCTGACGCTTACGGTTCTTCATTTCATTCGGTACATATATATGTGAGAGCCACATCAGGTTGATATATATGTATATCGATGTTGATCATCCCGTATCCCCTTGGCAAACCAAAGGACCCTAGCGTGCGCTCCGCAGTACATAATATATACCTACTTTCTTCTTATTATATATCGCGTGCATCATGCATGATGTACGGGTACAGGCAGATGATAATGTAATAACATACCCATGTATACCTGTATGTTTTACAGATGTACCTATACGGGAATCCGCTAAGCCGTGATCCTCCTGCTCTTTGGTATACTTGTGTGTACTTATATGAGCGAGTAACAGGTTTTCGAAAAAATCGGCTTCGGCATGCCGCGCGGAATGTGTATTATATATATATACATAGGTGCCTATATTATACGAAAAAAGAAGGAAAAGGAAGAAAAAGAAAGAAAAAAACCTGGTGAACCGTAAGCTCGCGCGCGTTCTCTCGCTCCCTTTTTCTCTTCTCTGCGGCGCTCGTAAAGTTTCCGCGAGTTTTTTTTTATTATTTTTTTTTTACATCTATTTCCCGCAAGATAGGGCGTGTGTTTGACTCCCATCCGAGGGGAAAAATACTAACGCTCACTTTAGACGGTAGGTTTTGCGAAATCGAGTTGTGCAAAAGGGATATATATATATATATATGGGGCCACGCTTGCAGAAGAGCACAGCCGAGATATACATACGGGGTAATTAGCGTATACGTACACACCATACCTGCATGCAGATTGTAATCTTCATGCATGTATATGTATTTATGTATACATGGGGGCATGGGAAAAAGAACGCCCGTCCGAGCGGGAAGTAAGAAAGAAAGCGATTGCACTGCTCTGATCTATCTGATGTAGGTGTACTATACTGATGCTGTTGTTGTTAACCGTCTATATATATAAATTAAGACAACCCGACGCGCCGGCTGTTGAAAAGAAAATTCACTTTTTCCCCTACATTATTATTACGTTGTGTATCAGTAGTCCGCGATCGCGCGATTTCATACCTACGTACAGCCACGTGCGGCCCGGAAAAGTGCATCTCGATACACACGTATATTATCTACAGGCACGATCTCATTTTCATTTCGTCGGGAGGCTCGGTTGTTGTTCTGCATGAAATATCATGTAATATATATATATATGCGCCGCGTAACCATTCGCTCGACGCGTAATACCATCAACACGCAATCCTCATCCCAACTAATTAGGGTATATATACATACGTATATATTATATTAACTCGTTAATAACACTGCATCATACGCTTCATTGTACACGTATAAAAACAGAAAATAATACTATACCCAAGTGTACCTGTAGTCAGTCTAATGCTTTAAGGACAAATCGAGAACCATCCTCATCTGAAAATGTAAATGAAAACTTTTTTTTAATTTTTTTTTTTTTGTTTTTTTTTTTTTTTTGCTGCCCAACTGGAAAAACTTGAATTACCAGTGGGGCCCCGACGCGAGAGGGTCAAATGCAGGTATATTATAATATCATCGTTTTCAACAGTTTTCATCAAACAATCGCATCAAGGGAGCCGGGCTTGCAGAATGCTGCTTCATTTAATGCGGGGTAATTTCACGAGACGCGCACATCAAGGTATACAAGGTGCAGCGCGACCATACTTATACGTTTTCTATTTTTTTCTTTCCCCTCATTTTTCCTCTGTCATTGTCATATTATATACCCATACGCGTATATAGGCATATCATGCACGCTGTACCCATGATGAGAGACTTTTTCTCCTGATGCACGAACCACGGATGGTTTTACTTCCCAAGCGCTTTCTCATTCTCGCCTTGTGTGCAAGCACCACCTGCACTACTTACTCTCGTCTAATGTAAGTAGGTGCAGTATATTATGTATGTAACGCACGATATTGTCGTGTGAGCCGTGCATCAGCGATTCTCGCTGCGCGTGTGAATTTCACACGAGGCAAACAAGAGCTGCAGGTGTATTATATTGTAAGTATTATAAGCCCATCCAAAGATTATATGAGCCGGGTCACGTATATATGCAGGTGCAATCGTCGCCCAACTATACAAGGCTTATTTTTCTCGACTATATACTTACACTATGTACGTGTGGTACACCTAACAAAATAAATGCCCGCATTGTTATAATTGCGTAGAGCTACGGGGGAGTATAGTAAGCCTTTCACCTTCTTTTTCTCCATTCGTGTACAATATCATGTATACATTTTACATTTTACGGGTGAGTTGGTGTCAACCAACACATTTCTATAAAAATTCAATAATTATACATCTGTATAAGCCACTCTGACCTGATTGATGAAATTCCAGGTGCGTTGTAAAACTTAAGGTTTTAACACGAGCAAAAGTTCAACGAAATCGCATTGCCTATATAATTAAATGCGTATACCTAAAACACAAACACAAAGCGGCTCAATGAATTTTTTCTTAACCCCCGTCCGAGTAAGTATATAGAGTGTAACGCGACAATCGTACTTTAACCGCCCCAACTCGTTGTGAGCAAAATTAAGAATAATTTTCAACAAAAGCGCACCTGTTGAGGTACTATCCGTGAAAGTTGATCAATCTGCCTCTGAATGAAACGTAGGTACAATATTCGCGTGTGCGTATATATAATATATGCACAAGACGAGCGGCCTCCTTTATAAAGCGGCTCAATGGAAACGCGCGTGCTATGCACTATATACGGTCTTTGAACGAGGATCATTGATATGGAAGAGAGAGTGAGAGAGAGAGAGATGGAATTGTTCGGTCATCCTTGAGTTGAGCGTAGGAATGATCAAGGAGGTACATTATATACATACATACACGTAACTCGCACGCACACGCGACACATGTGATTCCAGGTCAGTAGGGCGAATCGATAGAAGAGAGTAAGGAGAAGGTGGAGGAAGCAGTGATATGATCGTCCGCCTCATCCGCGTCGTTTCCAGCATCAGCTGAGGTGGGGCGTACGTAGATATATATATATACACGTCTATATAAGACATACACCCTAGCTGCGAGAGGAGGAGAAGGAGGTGTACCTGCATCAGAAAAGAAAAGAAAAAAAAAAGAAAATAACCATCGGAGGAATGGGCTCGGAGGCTTGGGAACTGGAGCGGAGGTACTCGGTGCCCGGGGCCCTCGATACGCGAGGCCTCGAGCCGGCCGGGGCACCAGCCAGCGAGGACCTACACGCCTGGTCGATCTACAGGTATAATATATATATATACATCTCGCTTATACTTTCGTCAGAGTCGCGCGTCCGCACGTGTCGCTCGTTTACTATTATCTATACCTACCTCCTTAGGCCACGGCCTTCGTTTTCCCCGTGCTTTTTGTTTTTTTAGACGCGCGTGCAGGATATGGGACGACTATACATCTTACATGTTTACAAAACAGGCGTTCCACGACAGCGTATTGTCATTTTTGGTGCTCTTTCTCATTCGCAAAACTGGATCTTTCGTCAAGTCGCAAAATGCTTGCGCGTAAAAGAATTTTATCCGTTCGAGACGGGCATCTCTTTTGTAATATATTTCATTGCCATCCATAAAAAAACAAAGGAGAAGGATAAACAAATTGTTACATACTTTATTGTTGATTTAATTTTAAGGGCCAGTTCGAGGTCCGCGTTGTTACCGATTTTCAACCGATTTGTGTATGTACATGTAATTATAGTTACGGAACGATAACCAAGTACAACCGATAAATAAATTTCGGTGCAAAAAAGTAACAAAGTATATATATATTGTATATACACATATAGGTAAATGTATGCGATTCTCGTGACAAAAATATGCACGTGTATGCCTATAACTATGTAAATATGGTTATGATGTGCGTCCGCAGGCAAAACTTGAACTCGGATTTCACGGACTCGGCGCTGGGTTCGGCGGAAAAGTCGCCCCTGCCGTACGGCAACTTCCAGCTGCGCGACTCCACGGTCCAGAGCATCCTGCGTCACCCGCGCTACGGGCCCCGCAGCCCCCTGGCCAACAACTCGTACACCTACCTGAAGTTCGGCTTGCCCCGGGTGTTGCCGCCCTCGAGCTCCCGAGCCCCGGGGAGGGACGCCGGCTCCAGCGGCTACGACTCGAGCGAGGAAAGGGCCGTCCAAGCCGCCGCCGCCGGGGGCCGGCTCTCCGCCCTCCCGCCCATGCGCTCCGCCCGCAGTGACCCCGACTTCCGCGTCGCCCTAACGGCCAATCACCCGGTGAGCACTACCCCACGCGCTGCGAGAATATATCACAAATACTCTTTCACTCGCGTCAAGCAGATCATGGACATTGCTTACGTTTATTAATAATTATCATTAATGGATAAATAATACTAATGTACTTTCTGTCAACTCTCGATTGATTTAACACAAGTACTTTTACTTTATTTTTTTTTTTAAATTATGTACATGTATTTGGAAAGAAGCACGCCTATATTTTATGGTCAACTTGTGGTCTCGACTTCCCGTTGGTACTTGGTAATACCTCCACGAATGTTCATTTTTCAGTTCATATCATACACGTGTACATTTAATAACGGCTACACGCGGAGTACTATTATCGCTATTTTAAATGGTTGCGTACTTTCTTGCAAAATGAATAATGCATAACGGGATGGTGGGGGGGAGGGGGGGGGTTGAGAGTACAGGGGAGTCGGAAATGACCATGTGTAGCAATGCCCACGGTGTGTAACGTGATCGCGTTTTTTCCCCCCTTTTTTTTGGTCGATGCTGCACCACATCACCTGTACGCCTGTTTACCGTTGCCTAACTGCGTCTGCTTTCACGTGAACACCCGTATATATATATATGGCCGTGTATCATTTTCATTTCAATGTCGTTGTTGAGAAGCGTCATTACGCGGTACACGTCGAGATACGATGATTTCCTTTTTCTCTCTGTTAATTTTTCGTTATACCCACGTGGTTGTAGTCTAATTTCTTGGAGTGCCCATGTACTAATGTATAACTGACAGAGCCGAGACAACCACTCGCACATCGGACTGCAGCAGCAGCACTACGTGCCGAGTGGGCATCACCACCACCACCAGCACCAGCACCACCACCACCATCCCCCGCATCATCACCACTTGAAGCCAGTGAGCCGGGAGTCACGTATGCGCAGCGTGAGCGAGGCGAACCTGTTGCAATCGACGAGCGGGGGGGCGTACGGGGTCGTGTCCTCGCCCCGTTCGGTGGCCAATCGCCGGCACAGCATAGCGCCCATCGACCCCGGCCTCGTGTACGAGCGTCACCCCATCCATCATCACCACGCATCGGGACAGCATCAGGTGTTGCAGCAGCAGCTGCCGATCGTCCAGTCGTCGCCGGTACACCAGTCGCCGCCCCACCGACCCCACCTCCAACTGCGCTCCGTCGAGGCCGTTGGGCCCAACGCCAAGGTATACTCTAGACCGAAAAACCACAGGTTTCATCCAACCGCTGTCCTTTTTTTTTTTTTGATGATTCGATCACAGGAAAAATACTCTTTTGGATCCACCCCAATCGACACCAGATTTTTTCATCGAAAATCATCGAAAATATCATATTGCTTTATACATCTTTATTTTTACTTGAAGCGATGAAACCTTTTTTTTTTTTTTTCATTCGATGCATCGCAAAGCGGTCGAATGATTGTGGACAAAAAAAATAGGTGTACACACATTCATATGCGCGCTCTCGATCGGAAAAATACGTCTACGATCATGAATATTATTACGCAAAGGCTCGTAAAAAAAAAAAAAAAAAAAAAAGAAGCATCTATATTATCAATGGCAGCGTCTTGGCACAGGTCCTTGTACGATCACCCAATGATCACTTGAAATTACAAAAAATTTAACGTGACTCGCAGAACGGAACCGTCCACCTGAGGGGCCTGAGCCTAGAAGCCGGTGCCGGGGACGTCCTGGCCGTGATGTCGACCAGCGAGAAGGAGGGCACCCTGATAATGGAGACCATCGTGGGCAGGAAAAAGATCAAACGGGGCGAGATACTCCTCAACGGCAGGACCGTGTCCCCGAAAACCCTCAGGTATACCTATATATGTGCATTACTTGTTGGCGGGGAAAAAAAAAAAAAAAAAAAAAAAAAAAAAAAAAACGTCTCTCGTTTGTGCGTGAATGATAGATCGACGGTGGCCTACCTGTCGGCGGAGACACCCGAGGCCGGCCTGAGTCCCGAGCTCACGGCCCTGCAGTGCTTGAGCTTCTACAGGCTGTTGCGGGGCGCCGCTGGTGTGTCGCCCCTCGAGGCCGAGGCGATCCTCCAGGAGCTCGGGCTCGACGCCACGAAGCACTGCCTCGTCTCGAGCCTCACGTGTTCCGAGTCGCGGCGCCTGGCCCTCGCCTGCCGGCTCATCGAGGGCACCCAGATCCTGGCCCTCGACAGGCCCACCCGGGGCCTCGACATCTTCGACGCGTTCTTCCTCGTCGAGTACCTCAGACAATGGGCCCTCCGCGCCCACCGGCTCGTCGTTCTCACCCTACACCCACCCACCTACGAGGTCCTCTCCATGCTCTCGAGGATCGCCCTCACCTCCGGCGGACGGCTCATGTACTCCGGCCCGAGGCGCGACATGCTCCCCTACTTTGCCCTCGCCGAGTTTCCCTGTCCGCCCTTCAAAAATCCCTCCGACTACTACCGTAAGTACACACATAAATATATGTATGTATGTATAATGTTGATCGATGCACCCTATACATATACATATAAATATGTATATATATATACATACATATACACGTGTTATTATTTATATTTGCAGTCGACCTGGTGACGCTGGACGATCTGTCGAACGAGGCGATGCTCGAGTCTTCGCAGCGCATCGACCACCTGTCGGAGCTCGCGAGGGTGCGCCTGTTGGCTCCCAGCGATCCGGGCCCACCCGGTTCCCTGCCCACGACCAACACGGGCGCCGGTCTCCTCGGCCAGGTCTACGCGTTGCTCGGCCGCAAGCTCGTCTACAGTCAGCCGTGGAGCTGCGTCGGGCTGCTCCACCGGATCCTCGTCGGGCTCTCCATCAGCGTCCTACTCGGGGCTGTGTTCTGGGACGTGGCGGCCGACGCGAACCTCCACCTCAGGGACAGGATAGGCTTTCACTACGCGAGCTTGGGTGTCTTGTTTTGGCCCCTCGGGCTCCTAGCGGCTGTCGAGGTTCTCAGAGACCGGCCGATCGTCGAGAGGGACATCGGGGACGGCCTCTACAGCCGGCTCGCTTACATCGTCGTTGAGGTATACAAGTGCCCGTCGAGGCATACATACTTGTGGTTTTTTTTTTTTCCATCTATACTCTTGTTCTCGCGTGAGTAATCGACGGGTGCGTTCTTCCCGCAGCTCGTGTGCAACCTGCCCGGCTGGGCTTTGGTGTACCTGGCGTACCTGGGTCCGGCGTACGTGATGACGGGCCTTCACGCGAGTTCCTCGTCCACAGCCCAGACGATGGACTCGGTGGCTACGTCCGCGCTGCCTCCCACGGTGACGGCTTCGGCAACAACGGCCGACGACAACTTTGACGGCACGTGGCGCTACCTGAGGATCGGTCTCGTCTACCTGCTGTTCCAGCACTTTGTCTGCGTCCTGTTGGCGCGCCTCTGCGCGAGTACCTGGTCCTTCCTCGCGCTCCTTCTGTCGGGCCTGTTGATCGGCGAGGCGACGCTCGGCGCCGGCGTCACCATCCACCTCGGCAACCTGTACTCCTGGTACGGCTGGACGAGTCCGCTTAGGTGGGCCCTTGGGCTCCTCCTGCCACCCTTGTACAGTCCCGAGGCGCTGTTGAAGCTCAAAAATTGCAAGGCCAAGCAGATACAGCGCCAGGACATCATAACGCAGAGCGCCTGCGAGACCCCGGACGGTGACTTGGCTCTCAGGGAAATCGGCCTGGGCGGCTTGCACGGGCCCCACGAGGACTGGTTGCTCGCTTGTCTCGGCGCTGTGATTTTCGCCAGTGTGCTAGCCTTCCTCCTGGTGAGGCACTCGTCGAGCAAAAACTCGCTCAAGAGCATGCCCAACAAGCCATAGGATATTATATACATAATTCAAGCCCTTTGTGTACAGGCCCCCCCCCCTCTGTGTGTGTGTGTGTGTACCGCAAAAGTGCGATTTTGGCTATTACCATGTACGACTATAGGTATATACTTGTTGAGAACTTTAATTTGTTCGTTCGTCGGTAGCCGACGTGTCGATCAACCGGCACATATTTATTATTTACAGGCAAGTGCGTCAATTGTGCCCTAGTTCAATGTCATTCCTTTACATGATATTCATTATTAAAATTGTTTTTTTTTTTTCCGTTCGATGAGGCATCCTTGCTGTTTGTTGCGCGACAGTCATCCAAATAATAATCAACTATAATTTACAAGTATAGTGTCATACACCTGCTGGAAATAGATCGCCACCATACTCGGGCCGACATTCTGCTTTGAGGGCATAAAATATTGTATATATGGGCGATTTGTTTTATCCAAAACTGCTTTTGCTACATTGACCAAAAATATTTTTAATATTACACTTTGGGCAATTGACAACTTATTAGAATTTCGATGACTTTTGGTCTGTAGTAGAAACATTGACATTTTTTTAATTCCCATTTCAACTGCTCGCAACTTTAAGTTTACTGCAGACTTTAATTTTTATGTCTTTGGACAAATCAGCAATTTCAGCATCGCAAAGACTTTAAGGTAGTTGTTACGGGAATAAAGATTATCATAATAGAAATACCCTAAAAGTATATCTCGAGAGTGAACGTGCGTTTGACAATATTTTGGAATAAATCTTTTATTAAAGATTTTGTGGTCAAACTGTAGGTTAATCGTTCAAAGTGCAATAATTTTCATCGTCTTACGACTATGTTCTCGTGCAATACATTTGTTAAATGTAATATTTTAATTACGTTTTCGTACGACTAAATATATTTATCATTATGTTGCCATTATTTAGAAAATTTTAACGTTAACGTGCTAATTTAACTCAAATGGTACTTTCAACCCTATTATTACATTTTATTAACATTAAGTTAGTACTACAATTTTTGTTTTACTTTATTTTAACATGGTTAAAAAATCCGAATGTTACAGTGAGATATGATGATGTGATGATCCACACCTATAAATTTTCAAATGGAAATATTAATAACTTGATGTATATATTTGATAATAAGTCACCAATTGAATAAGTTGAATGAAAATATATTACATCTTTCATAAATCGCAATTAAAGTTTGAGTGAAATATATTTTCGTGTTATATCTTGTAACGAGAAAATCAAATTTGAAATGTAAAGAGAAAAAAGATAATTTACATTATTCGTATTATAATTGTACATATTTTGTAATTACGTACAACATATTATTTGAGTATGTAATGATTCTTTATTGATAAATTATTTTAATTTGTATATTTCGTGTATTGAGGAGTTTTCGAGATTTTAAAAACAATTTGAGTAAATAATTTCTTTATCGTACAAACCTAATGATAAAATTAATTTTTATCTTTTTTCCCATATTTTCCGTTTTATTTTTGGAATGTTTATTCTTGATGTTTATAAACATAAAACTCATTAACATCTAAATGGTATAATTAATTTAATTAATTACCTAGTCCCACGATTATTTCTTTGAAAAATGTGTCGACATGATAAAATTAAAATGCCTCTAGGCATGAAAAATAACGATCCATCCAACTCACGATTGAGTGCAGCGCTTAGCCGAAAATTTAAAAACTAAAGTGATATTAGAAATATACGCACCACTGAAGAAAAGATAAAAATTGTCATTTAACCTGTAGGCAAGAGTTTTCCCTTTGAACGGCTATAGCTTTGCTCGCGGAGAAGTTAAAAAACGAAAATATAATACAAATGTTCCCACGAGTAATTTTCCACAATAGTAAATGCTCGGTTTTATTATAGAATAAATAAAAGTTACTGTACGTCTCTAAAATATATATTTTTTTAATTTCACAAAAGATTTAAGTAAACGATGAGCAGCTGTGAGTTAATAGTTTTGGGCCATTTGTGGGGTATTTAAATGATTTCGGTGCAAATTTTACTCAATTTGTTATAAATCTTGATTATATTCAAAACTTTTTCTCTACATCGAGAATTGTGTTAAACACTGTGGAAGACTCTTAATCTTTTATCAACAATATTATTTAATTTCATGGTTTCGAAGCTAAAAAAACATCATTAATATGTTGATAAAAATGTCCAACTTACACTTCATAGAAGAGTTTACAGGTATGTAGAATGAAAATGATTGTTTTAGACTGAAAAACGATTAATAAGCAAAATTCAATCACCGATTGGGCGCATTCTGCACTATTTCAGTGTAATTAGTTTATATATATAGGTCAACAGATGTATATATATACATGCGTCTTGCCTCAAGCAGAGCACGTATCTATAAGAATGAGTAACAATGCGCCACATTAATTTTTTTTTTTTTTTTTCCAATCCATGCTTAACTACCTCTTGTACATTCGTTCATTCATATCCATTAGTTTGCTCATTCATTCATCCGCATTCATTCAGTCATTCGTTCATCCGCTTGTGTTCTCGGAATTTTTCCCCTCCCCCTGTAGCGGTCACGGCCGCATTAGTATTGTTATTGTCAATTTTATTTTTAAAAGCTTCGTTCGAGTTTGTTGTGACGTATACTGTGTTCCCCGTATATTTGAAAAGACAGTAGATAACACCTACACCTCTAATATGCCGTACAAGAAGACGCGCGAGTGTCTTTGCAGCAATTACATAAACGTATAAAGAAGGGAAAAAAAAATTACTCGATATGATTCAATAATTTATAAGAACAGCAGTTGTACGCGTAATATATATGAGCGATTCCGCGAAAAATCACCTGTTTTTTAGTTTCAAAAAATGTAAAACATGGGTTTTTTGTATGCTTTTGGAACTTGTCCTGTTTTATTTCAACTTCTAAAAAATGGGTTGTTAAAATCTTGAAAAGGCAAGAATTTTTTAAAATCCTTTTTTTTTTTTTTACTGTAATTTTTCCCTCTGTGATTAATAAAAATTTGAGAAATATAATGTACAGTGTAACGGTTCAACGCAAATATCCGGAGCAAAAGTTTCGTTTAATTTTAGTTTTCTTTTTGAATTCGGGAATCTTCACCAATTTATCAAATCTGATCGATTTTCTGCCCACTATTCATAACTTATTTTAAATTATCGCTTACATAAGTAAATTTTTTTATGAAAAACTTAAATATGCGTAACTGATTTTTTTGTTTTTTTAGAATTTCTCTATATTCATTTACGCAAAAGTATGAAGCGCAATCAGTTGCAACACGTACGCTTAATATATGGTAAAATTTCCAAGAGGTACACCTTATTTTCCTTCCGAAAAAGATTTACCAAGTTAAGAAGCTCACACCACTTTCTCAAACATAGCTCAACTTAGAATTGAGTTAAAACAATAATTATTAACTCGAGACTCACAAAGACAGGTGAAAGCTCTGAACATACGTTTGAATTTGAGCAACTTTACAGTAAAAACTTGACTTTTAATTTACAAATAAGTATAAATTGCGTGTTACACGCACACTTCCTTCATCCAATTTTCAACGAAATCATCACATCTAATCAACATATTAGACTCTGACAAAGCTTGTTTCTAGCTCTCTCGGTTGTCCTTCCAACGTGTGACGGTTAAAATTTTACTCAAACTTGATTTACACCTAAAACAGCAAGTCTAGTTTTTCCGTATCTTTTCCGTATCTGTACAGGGTAAAAAATAAAACGTGGGCTCGAAAGCAAACTAGATTCATCGGACCGAGTCAATACGTAAATCACGGGATTTTGAGTTATGACTGTGTGACGTGAAAAAACTTTTTTTTTTTTTTTTGTTCACCACCTCGGGATTTTTCGAAGATTTGAACGTTCAACGCGATAGGCCTTGAATAGGCGCTATAGGTCATCTTTCCCAGGCCCCACGGTCGTTACTTTTATTTCTGTGTTGACTCAAACGGACATGCATACGCACACGGACCCTCTGTACAAACAGCTACCGAGTTCTTTTTTATTTCAGACACACACGCGTACATTGTACGCAAGTAGACTTGTATATTCATCCTAATCCCACATAGGTAGTGCAGAGATTGGGATGGTTTGCGTGCGCAAGTAAGTAATATTTTTTCAACCCGGAATTCACGTGGGTTGGTAAATCTCAGGTTCTTCTTCCCACTTGCACAGCTTAGCCGTAAATTATTATATACGTACACTCAGTTAAGTTTGAATACACCAATGTCCATGTAACATCGATTTCTCTGATTCACAAAGCGCGCGCGAGAAAACGTCTCTTCGCGCGATCCGATATATTTGCCCTTGCCATCAAACGCAACGTATACATATTTTACGCGTAGGTGTAAGTATATACAATAATATATGTATACTTGTACCAATGCACTGTTTTTCTTTTTTTTTTTTTCATCTTTTTCTTCCACACGTGGGTGCTCACCGTTCGCCGGGTATATAATAATTCATCCAACAACGTATACATGTCCGTTCGCTCCGACTTTCATTTATCGTGCTTTCGTTCCTGAACAAACTCTAACGCTATACATTAATACGTATATACATGTACATACACTGCACGTTATTGCGTGGGCGTACATAGAGGTATACTTGCGTTACTAATTATCATACGCACGAGAGAATTCACTCTAAGCTTCTTTCGTAAGTTCTTGGCTCGGTCCAAATTAAATTACTACGGGTACATTAATACGGATTGTTCGCGTGCTTATACAATATATGATACCACATTATCATTATGTGAGATTCGTACAAGATGTACCTGTTACACACTTTCTATGAATAATATAGTATTACAAAAGAAAAAAGAAAAAGAAAAAATCGTATACCATAATATTTTGCGCTCAACAGAAATAGCCCACATGTATATATACTTACATATATATTCATAAAATAGTGTACCTACACGTACTAAGATTGCACGAGCAGAGTAAGTACACGTGTATAACCATCGGTTTCTTTCATAAAACTAAAGATCG